TCTGTGAAACACCAAGCATTCTTCAAGGGGGAGGGTTGGAGCAATGCTGAGCACCTGGGCTTTGGTACCACAGCTCCAGGCTAATGTCCTCACCCTGCCTCTCCCTGTGGGTGAGCTTACTTCTCTGAGCCTGTGCTGCTGCATCTGTAAGGTGGGTGCAATCCAATAGCAGGACTTGCCGTGAGGGTTAGAGATGGTGGAGGTGGGGCCTGCAGACCTTCTCACATCCAGCTGCCAATGAAAGGAGGTATTACTGTTATTATTATTGTATGTTTTTTTTCCCCAGATGGGCAAGTCCCTTATAGAGCTCTGGTAACAATTTCCCATCTATAAAACACAGAAGGCAATGCTTTTCTCTTAGAGCAGGAATTGGCAAACTAAGACCCCTGGACAAAAATCTGGCTTGCCACCATTGTTGTAAATAAAGTTTTATTGAAACACCACCGTGCCTTTTGCTTGCATGTTCTCTAAGGCTGTTTAGGCATTACAGTGGCAGAGTTGACTAGTTGTGACAGAGGCTAGGTGGCCCCAAAGCTGAAAATATTAATGTCTTGTCCTTTACAGAAAAAGTTTCCTTGCCCCTGTCTAGAGGGTTGTGCTGGAGCTACCTACATTCTTAGGTGTATAGATTTACATTTATATCTACAGAGCTCAAATACACAGTGCCTGGCACACCGCAGAATCCCAACAAATCTTTAGTTCCTCTTCTCAACTTAATTCTGCTCAAGAATACACAGGATCGTATCTGAAAAATGCAGAGGCAGACACATTTGTATTTTTATTGAATTCTATTTCTCTCTCATTTTCAGAAGAAGAGCTCATGTTTAAAAAAAAATTCTGATTGGCACTATAAACTTTATTTATGCTTTAATGTATCCTAAAGTATGTATCCTGCACTATTTTTGCTTCCCTTACAGATGCTGATATGCTATACATTACCAAATCTAAATGGATTTTTCAAAATCCAATTTCCTTGCTACAGTTTCCCATTTCTCTGTTGACTTTTTATGCTTGACTCACATCAGAGCATCTGGGGCCTTTGCCACATTTCGACCTCAACTTGCCCAGGGAGATAGCTCTTCTGTTTAGGTGTCGCTCTTCTGTTCAGGGTCCTTAGACAGCGGCTATCCTTCCCTGTCCTGCAGTTTTCGAGGTCTTCATCAAACCAGGTTGTGCCCCCGGAAGGCAGATCCTAGCTCCTGGGGAGAAGGTAGGATTTTTGTTTCCCATAAAAATGATTGTGGTGAGGTTGACATTGGTTAAATGGGACCACCTGCTCCTCATACCTGAACGGGGTCAGCATCCAAATGAGTTTCCTTAGGAAACCTCTCCAGACATCTGTCTTCCCTTGAACACATGCAGCCATGGTTGGGCCATTTATTTATTTATTTTCTGGTCAGGTGTTGTGGCCTCGAAGAATTGTACCAAAAGAGAAGCCATTTTTGAAGGAATCAGAGGCTCTGTGGTGAGATCCAGGGTTTGAATATTTCCTGCTTCCGTCCAGGGGCAGCATGGCTTCCCTTTGTTACAGTCAGGGCTTGGGCTGGTGGCGTGGCTCTGCGTCTCTGTCGTCCCTGAGAGTTCCCAGTTCCTTTTGAGGCTCTGGAACTTTAGACCTTACAACGGGAGGTTTCCTTATGGTCACCTTGTCCCTGCATCCCAGAAAATGATGGCTCAGGTGTGGGAAGGACCGAGGGCTAGGAGGTTGTGCCCCTCTGGCAGTGCCGATTGCTGTCAGGTTCTACAGTCCGGAGCTCACAGCCACTCTGTTTCTCAATCGGTCGACCCAGAGGAAGAAAACCCAGGGGTGACTTCTTGAAAAATACTCAAGTGTATTCTCTCTCCTGAATAGTTTTTAACACTTGTCTCGGAATCAAGCCAGACCAGCAGGGTGTGGGGTACCTAGATTGTGTCTTTGGGGTCCCAGTGAGTTGCTCTTCCTTGTGTGTGTTTGGGTGATGCTATCAATTTATATCGAAGAATGATTATAAGAAACATTTCCGTGAAATGGGCCATGCACTTGGGATGTGGATGTGGCTTCAGATATGGGGTGCTGTTTCGTTCCTGGATGTGAGGTTTTTGTTACAACGGTCCCTGCAGAGGAGCCTTGTCTGATCTAAACCCTTGGACTGGTTGTCATTTTCCTGAGTGATCTGATGTTTATTGCATGAACACAGTGTCCGGTACCTGGCCAATTTTTCCATTTAATATTGGGTGTCAGAAGCGCAGAGTCAAACCTATCACCCCCCTTTTGGCAGATGGGCGTGAGGGAAATTGCAGCACGGATTTGTAACTCCCTCCTCTGTCCTGCTTCTCTTTCCTTTCCTGTCCTCAATTTGATTTTTGTCACCATGCTGTACTTTTCGGCTTCTATATTTATCAGGCTTCTGCAGCTGCACCAGTGACCAGTTAGACAGCATCCCTTTAATGTTGTTTTGCTTTGGATCTGAGGTCTCTCCCCCCAAAAAGCTTGTGATTGGCAAGGGAGCAATATTCAGAGGTGAAACAGTATCATTATGAGAGCTGTGATCTAACCAGTGGATTAATCCATTTGATTAATAATTGGAAAGACTACTATGCTGGGGAGTAACTCCAGGCAGGTAGGGCGTGGTTGGAGGAAGTAGGTCACTGGGGGTGTGCTCTGGGGTTTTATATTTTGGCCCTGGCACCTCTCTTGCTCTTTCTGCTTCCTGGATATCATGACCTGAGCAGCTTCCCTCCACTGTGCCCTCTGCCATGAAGTTCTGCCACACTTCAGGCCTGGAGCAACAGAGTTGGCCAACCAGGAACGGAACCTCTGATACCATGACCCAAATAAACTTTTCCTCCTCTAAGTTGTTCTTGTTCGGTATTTTGGCCACAGCGATGAAAATGTTGATTAACACAGAAAATGGTGGTCTGGGTTCTAGGTTGACATAAATCTCAGAGGGAAATTACATCCCCCAACTGTATTTCCTGCATTGCCTGGAGCCCAGGAATGAGCCATGTGTCCCAAGATTCAGATGACGGTGTGATCAAGTGCAGGACAGGCGCCCGTTTCTAGAATAGAAAGTCTTCTCTAAGAGAGACACTGAAGTCCCATTGAGGGATGACAAATTCTGCAGAGTGGGATAGAAATGGCAACAGGGTCTGAATATCCCAAAGAGATAGTGGCTGAAGACAGAGTATAGGCAGCTTTTGACTCCACGCTAAGTGAGCTCTCCCATCCCTTTGGAGGTCCTCACCACAGAAGGCCTGGAACCCCAGTGTCAAAGGTCAGACTATCCTATCGTAAGGGGAAAGTGTTTGCTGCAGAATGAAATGAACATCATAGCTCAGCAGCTGGAGGCAGCATGCAGCCTAGGAAAGTCTAGGAAAGGTCTGTGAAGCAGAGATGTGCCCCTGGTCATTCGGGGAACAAGACCTGACAGCAGTCAGCTCGGGGGTGACTGCCTACCTGTGATTGTGCAGGGTTTGGTAGGTGAAACTCAGGGCTTGGAAGAACAGGTGATTGTGCTGTTAGCATTTATTGCCTAAGATTCACTTGGTGCTGTCTTAGTCCGTTTGTGCTGCTAAAACAAAATACATGAAACTGGGAAATTTATAAAAATAGAAATTTATTGCTCATGGTTCCAGAGGCTGGGGAGTCCAGGATCAAGTTTTCAGTAGGTTCAGTATCTCGTGAGGACGTTTTTCATAGATGGTGTCTTCTCTGTATCCTCCTGTGGTAGAAGGAGCAAACAAGTTCCCTAAGGCCTCTTTTATAAGGCATGGATTCCATTCATGAGGGCTCTCCTAATCATCTCCCCAACGTCCCACCTCTTAATACCATTGCACGGGTGTGGGGGCGTAGGTTTGAACATATCAGTCTTTGCGGGGACATGAAGACATTCAGTCTATTGAAGATGTTGTTCTGTGTATGGTGGGGAACACATGGGCATTTACAGGAGTGGGAAGGTGATGTGATGATGTCTCTGAGCATAAGGGGACATAGAGGGACAGTATGGAGTGTGTCTGGGAGACCGGCCTGTAAGCTGCTGTGGGAATCAGACCTGCTGCCACCTCCTGCCTTCATATATTCTATGGCCCCCCCCTGGACTGCCTCCATGGAGAGGCTCCCGCTCTTTAGAGTCCTGTTAATTCTCCTCCACTTCTTCCCCTCTCCCCTCCAGAACATCTGCAGGCACCTGTTTCTCTGGGCACACCACCGTGTCCTAGCTGGAGACTCCATTCTCTATCCCACATCTTTCATTGTCACCTCCCGGGGACTTTTGGCCCAAAGCATATGCTTAGTGAATCCTTGTCATATTGAGTGAACAACTTACTGTCAGACGTTGGATAGCTTGAACTTCGAGTTCAAAGGAGAAGCTTCACACGTTATCAGCATCCACTTTCCTGTCTTCCTGGTGTACGATCATTTAACTTCTCACCAGTGCACTTGCTGCTCCACGGAAACGTGGATTTTCAGAACGAGTTCACAGAGAAGGAGGTGGGCATCAAGACCATATTCTGTGCCGCTTGCTTTTCCTATAATCCATTTGATGGTATTTCCCTCCACATTAACAGGTGTGGAAACTGAGACTCAGGTGTTAAGCATGTGGGCCAAGCGTGCACAGCTTTGTACACCAAGGCATGGGTCCAGCTCTGCCGGACTCTGCAGCTAATGCCCTTCCTGCTGCCTCATAGCATCTCTCCATGTTGAAGGAGCAGTTACAGAGGCATGCCCTGGCATTCATTTTTCCTACTTAGAATGAGATGTTGCTGTTTACTTTCTCAGGAAGGAAGATTGAAATCAATGTAACTAGCCTTATTAACTTTTTAAAACAGGGGGCCTGCAGATGTGAGTGCCCTTCCTACGAGCACCAAAGCAAATATAAAAATCCAATTTGCTTGTCTTTTTTTTTTTAAGTCTTCTTCAGAGTTTAAAATGCAAAGCCGTAAATGAAGAACCCATGAGACAAGGGTAACGAACCAAGCCTCAGACGCGGGGATGTATTTACCAATATCTCTTTTGTTTGCAGGTGGCTGTTCCTTTGATGAGCACTACAGCAACTGTGGATATAGTGTGGCCTTGGGGACCAATGGGTTCACCTGGGAGCAGATTAACACATGGGAGAAGCCAATGCTGGACCCAGCAGTGCCTACAGGTATGCAATCTGTCTCTTTTGGGGCCGTAATGGGGAAGAATTTTCTTATGGATTGAATTGTCTGAAAGGGCATAAGATAACTCCATAGGTAGTGAGTTTCTCATCCTCAGAGAAGTTCAAACCATGACTGAGGGAATTTTTTAGGATGTAGAGAGAGTCATGTATCACCTGGATTTAGGGATCTTTAGGATTTCTTTTACCTTTGAGATTCTAAGCTCTTGTTTGACCAAGGGTGTCACTGGGTTTGCTTGGGAATCTGATAGTGTTGGGATTTGGGAGAGAAGAAAGATCTGGGGATCTGGGGGAAGATTTGAAGTCTGTCCCTTTCTCCAGGCTGCACAGACACGGGTTGCAAGTACATAGGGAAAATTCCACAGTGTGAGCATTACTCCAAAAGTCTATGTCCTGACCTTCTGAATACCAAGCTTGTCCTCACTCAATGGAGCCAAAATTCCAGTGCAAACTCCTGATGGCTGTCTGCATGAGGCGGGCTGAGGAGAGGGACAGCTGTTGCATTTTAGGGGGAATACCCAGAGGAGATGTGCTCATTCTCAGGGAGAACACCGGGAGACTGGGGTACCCCTGGAGGAGATGCATCTTAAAGAGATGAGACAAGGTAGCAAGAATTGCAACCTGGGAAAGTTAAGACCTCCCTCTGGCCCAGCTGGGTTGGTGGGAGGAGAGGGTGGCCTTTCTCTGTGGGTCCTTTGGGCTGAGGGCTCCCACAGCCCACCCAGTCCTGGTTTCCCAGCAGCCCCTCTTGATGCTGGCCTTGCTTTTCTTTGTCTCCTTGGCTTTCTCTGACCTTTAAGCATCTGTGTTCTTTGGGTGGCTCTGTCCTTTTTCTACCATGGGCCTCGCCACTCCCACGGCTTCTGATACTGTCTGTCCCCTGGTGATTCCAACATTCATGACTCCAGCCCACATCTCTCTTATGGGCTTTAGACCTACACAGCCCACTGTCCAGTGTCTTCTTGGCCACCTCTGGTGAAGGGGGTTTTCCAGGATGCCATTAAGTTGGAGGCAGAGAAGATGCTTGGAGATGTTCAGCTGAGGGTGTGGCCTCATGGACCAAAGCAGAAGGCTCCTGGATGGCTCTGATTAGAGGCTGTTGAGGGTATGTATTGTGTAAGTTTCTTTTGAGTGTTAGTGTAAGCCTTGGGTAGGATGAAGGTGTGCTGTAGTATAAAAAGGAGTATTTCAGATCTGTTAGCTTCTTGTTTCATATAGTGAAGTCATCCACAGCTGCACGTGCTCATGAGGAAGGTGACGTGGAACAACCTCTGCAGCTGTTGTCCCATCGTGATTTTTAACCAGGTTGACTTTAACCTCAGAAGTGCCTTGGTTTAGATGATACTCGTTCCTCCTGCTGGAGACACCAAGAGCCCCAAATACCTGTACTTTGAGCATGTCACATGTTCTCTGCTCTGCTGGCCATCTTTGATATTGGCTGAATAAATCTGGATCCTATAGTGTGTGTTATGTGTGTGCATGCGTGTTGACACGTGTGCATGTGTATAACGTATATGTGTGTAGGGATGTGTGCATGAAAGTGTACATGTGCCTGCTCTTTCTGCTCATCCTTGGCCCACCCGAGGCCCTGCAGGGTCTTGTAGGCTTCCCCAGCTCAATGTCTCCAAAACTGAGCTCTTAATCCTTCCTTCCTCCTTCCCTGTCTCCTCAGTCCCCAATGTTCCTTGTCCTGGGAAAACCCGCTTCACCCACTCGGCTGCTGATTCAGAACCCAGAGGGCAGAGTTCTCTCTGCTCTCTTCCCCCTTTTTCAAATCACTGCTTCACCCCTGCCTTACCCCTTGAGTGCATCTTGGGTGTTTCCAAGCCTCTCTGTCTCTGTACCACTTGCTGGTAGAGAGCTCCCCCGGCTCTTTTCTGGGTAACCAGAGAACTTTCTAACAGGCTCCTTGACTTTAATCCTTTCTCTATCCAGAAACCAAAGAGGTTATTCTAGAATATCAGCCTGTGCCTGTTCCCTCTTCCCTACCTGGTCTCTATCCAGTTTCTGCTTAGAGTCCTTCTGTGGCTTCATTGCTCTGAGAAGACCAGAGCCCCACTGCAGCCTTGAGGCCTTGACGTCTGAGCTGACAACCTCCGCGATCACCCTCATCAGTTCCACTCTCCACTCTGCTCACTTCACAGCGGATTCTGTCAGTTTCCAGAATGTTCCAAATCTGCTGCCTCAGGGATTCACATGGTCCTCTCCATGGAAGCTTCCCTCCACCCTGCCCTCCTGGTCTTCTTCTTCCTGTCTCAGTCTGGGACAGCTCCCACCCTAATGAGCCCCCCCACCCCCACCCCCGCACACTGCACTTTTCCCAATGACACATGTCATAGCTGGGTTATTTGCTCAGGGTGTGCTTTGCCCCCAGATGAGAAGCTCCGTGTAACTGGGGACCGTGGCAGTCTGCTCCCGCTGTGTCTTCAGTGTCCACTGCAGTAGATCCCTAGGTGTTCACCAAACAACGTCTTGCTGGATGGCTGCGTGGATGGACGGGCAAAGGGTCTTACTCCAGTGGCTTTGTAATGAAGGAATGAAAGGTGCACATCCTTTGGGCCTCGCTCTTTTCCCCTTTGCTACTGTCCTTCCCATTTTACAGATCAGAAAGCCAGTGCTCTGAGCTGCCGAGTGAGATGGCTGCTCTTTGCTCAGGCCGCTGTGTCTCCCCAGAGACGAGATGCTAACTTCTAATCTTAATTTTCTCAGTCCCTCATTACAGCAGAGTGTCATTTCATAAATATTGGATTGTGCTAATACAATCTTCTGAGCTGTTCTAAATAGAGGCATTTGATAACGATCACTGGAATTATTCTGTCATGACGTGCCTGTGGATTCCAGGGCCGCGGTGCTGCTTAGGCAGAGAGCATAAAAGCGAATTTGGATTAGGCGGAACTGTTTGTTCTTCTCTTGGGCAAAGGCTGGAATCTGACTCTCTCTCTCTCTCTCTCTCTCTCTCTCTCTCTTAAACCGAGCCATTTCCATCTCTCCTGAAATCTCATTTGAGTCTGTTGATTCAGATGTTCCATAGCCTTTTATGGACCCCCTGTGTGAGAGAGACAAGCTCTGTGCTGTTCTTGATCAGGGTAAATCAGAACATGTCATTTTATCACTTAATCCCTCCAGTGGCCTGGCACATAGGATGAAATCTCCACTCCTCTTCATGCCAGTAAGCTCCCCACAATCTAGTGTCATCTGCAAGACCCCTTTCTTCTCTCTCAAAATGCTCCAGACACACTGGCTGTTCTCCATTTGTTGGACATGTTGTTCTTTCCTGGCACAGGACCTTTGTACATGCTGTTCCCACTCATGGGAATGATTCTCTTCACTCTTCTCTTGGCCAATTTCTTCAGGTCTCAGCTCACACAGCTTCCCACAGAGCTCTTTCCTCATCTGTTGATCTAAAGAAGGTCTCCTTTGTTGCTCCACTGGCTATATCCTGTTTTTGCTTTTAGAAGCCCCTATCATGGACATTCTCACAGGTCAGCTTATTCGAATCTTATACCATAGCTGAGTGACCAGGGGCTTCCATCCCTTTGCCTCAATTTCCACATCTTCAACTTGGGGACCAGCCTAAGAGTTCAGTGGAGGTCTGTGTGAGTGTGGACTGTCTACACGGGGCAGGGCTCAGCTCCTGTTGGTTTTTCCAGGTCCTTTTCTGAAAGAGTAAGCCCACCTTAGGACCTGGCCCCTCCTCAGGCTCAGAGGTGCCAGATGCTGCTTTTCCTCAGGTGGTTGGTGTTGGCCAGAGAGGCCTTCCTGTCCCAGCATGCATTGCAACCTGGAGGGTTGGATGCCTCAGACTTTACCTGTGCCACGGTCGCGCTCCTCCTCATCCCACTCCCTGGGCCAAGCTGTCGATTGGGCTGGCATCCTAGGTTCAGACCTGCTTCCCCGCTCGTCCACCCTGACTGGACTCTCACAGAGGAATGGGGGTTGCTTTGCCCATAAACCCTCTCTCTGGATCTCTCTCCTGTCCATGGAACTGACAGATCTCCTCCAGCCTCCCCCATCTTGGTGGAGCCTGAGGAACAGCCTGGAACGAACCAACTGCAGAGCCACATGAAGCCCAGAGGCAACAGGGCTTGGGAGTTTCCCTCTAATGCCTGCAGGACATTATTTTAAGTGTCAGGAATGAAGGAGGGATGACGCTCAGGCTGCCCCCTGAGTTTTTGTATCTCTTGTATCTGCTGCATTTATATCTCTCATTGACATCAACTTCGCTCTGACCCCGAGCCCCTAGAGAGGCAAGATGTTAAATTTGAGTCACCACTGGGGTCCCACATTCCTCAGGTTCCGTGACTTCCTGGAGACTTAAGCCAGCCCTTGTGATGTCCTCCAAGGAGCTGGCTACCTGAGGTCTCCTTGTGATTCCACTGCTTCCTTCCAGGGCTGGGAGCCATTGTCTGGGCTCAGCCAGCCCAACTGCCCCACCCACCATCCCTTCTGTGGCCTGCCCCTCCTCAGGGTTTGCTGCTGAGCAGGGCAGGGCCAGAAAACCCTCTCTGTGGCCTTCCTGGGGTGGGGATTCTTCCCGAGCCTTGTTAGCCCTCAGAGGCACCTCCCTCTTGGCCTGGCTTCTCTGCAGCCCACATCATACTCTCTACAGCGAGTTTAAACTTAGGGGGGAAAAAAAAGAAGAAATGAGGGAATCCTGACCTCAAGCAGCATCTTCTCTGCTTCTCTGGCTCACGTGTATTTCTAGAGCAGGGAAATACAGGGAATTGCATAGTTGCATGATGGGAGGGAGGGCAGGGACAGGGACGGGGTCCTGTCTGGGAGAACACACAGGCGCACACGCATCAGGAGGTTTCAACCCGTCAGCCTGACGCGGCAGCAGGTGTGGGCCCCGAGGCGGTCCGGGTTTTCCTTCAGGCCCCTGGGCCTCGGCTGTGTGTTCCCACCTTGCTCTGACTGCTGAGGATATAGATAGAGGACTGGTGACAGTTATGGATAGAATTGTCCCTCCAAAGATGAGCTGAAGTCCT